TGGGGAAAACTAAACTGAATGCTGGGAGAAAGGAGGTGGAGTCGGAGAGAAGCCACGGAGCCCTGCCAGAGACAGATGCCAGAACTTTAGCTGGTAAGCCACAGCCACGTGGCAATACACAGATTACTAAAAATGGGCTAAATTGAGATGTTTTAGACAATAAGAAGGGAGAGCTATTGGGCCAAGTTGTGTTTTAAATAATATAGTTTCCGTGTGATTATTTTGGGGCTGAGCAGCCAGGAAACAACAAGTGGCCTCCTCCAACAGAGCCATTTCCCCAGCCCTCCCACTGATGCCTGTAAGGAATGTACACTTGATCTTAGCCATGAGATGAGAAGCAATGTAGAATGTAAAAGTAAAACAAAGGATAACCAGCCTATGTCCACGACCCCAGAGATGCTGGGAAACAAGGAGAACCCTGAGAGAGACATGCATGGATCTCCAGGGGGAGGGAAATAGACAAAATCTCCTGTGAAAATAAGGAGAGGGGAGAAAGGGAGAGGGAGGGCAGGAGGGAGGGTAGAGGAGAACATGAGGGAACAGGATGGCCAAGATGTGGGAAGGACAGAGAGGGAGAGCAAGGAAAGATATCTTGATTGTGGGAGCCATTATGGGGCTAGTGTAAAACCCGGCACCAGGGAAATTCCCAGGAGTCCACAAGGATGACCCAGCTAAGACCCTAAGATATAGTGGAGAGGATGCCTGAACCAGCCTTCCCCTGTAATCAGATTGATGACTGCCTTAATTGTCATCATGGGACCTTCATCCAGCAACTGATGGCAGCAGATGCAGAGATCCACAGCTAAGCACTGGACTGAGTTTCCAGAGATCATTCCAAGAGAGGGAGGAGCGATAATAGGAGCAAAGGGGTCAAGACCATGATGGGGACACCCACAGAAACCGCTGACCTGAGCTCGTGGGAGCTCACTGACTCTGGACTGACAGCAGAAAAACCTGCATAGGAGCAAATAGGCCCTCTGACAGTTGTGTGACAGTTGTACGGCTGGGGCAGTCTGTGGGGCCGCCAGCAGTGGAACCAGGATTTATCCCTAGGGCTTGAACTGGCTTTTTGGAGCCCATTCTCTTTGGAGGGATACCTTGCTCAGTTTAAATTTAGAGGAGAGGACCTTGGTCCCGCAAAGTGATGTGTCAAACTTTGTTGACTCCCCATGGAAGCCTTACCCTCTCTGAGGAGTCAATGGAGGGTGGGGCAAGGTGAGCGGAGGAGGAGGAGAGGGAATGGGAGTAGAATAAGTATGCAGAAGATCACTTTTTAACTTGTTTGTTTGTTTGTTTTTCAAGACAGGGTTTCTCTGTGTAACAGCCCTGGCTGTCCTGGAACTAGCTCTTGTAGATCAGGCTGGCCTTGAATTTACAGAGATCTCCCTGCCTCTGCCTCCAGAATGCTGAGTTTAAAAGCATGCACCACCACCATCCAGCGAGAAAAGAACATTTTAAAAAATAAATTAATTAATTTTAAAAAGAGAAGAAACTTAAGAAAAATAAAGATAGAAAAAAGTAAACAAAACAAAACAAAACAAAAAAAACTTTACTTCGTATTCGTTAACAGCTTGGCCTCAAGGAACATCTCACTCCCACCAAAAAACCAATTAATTGACTAATTAATTAAGTGTTGGCTTAATTGGCACTTTGTTAGCATTAAGACCCACTGAGTGAGCAGAGTGGAGCATGAGTAACCAGAATCAGCCCCTAGGGCAGCTGGTACCCAGTGTTCCCTGAGCATCAGTTCCCAGAGCCTTCTCAGAGGACTGTAGGGAGTAAAAGAAACAGGATGTCAGGCAGAAAGAGTTGTAGCCTGCAAGCAAAATATCACTTCCTTGCTTCCAAAGTCATACTGTTAAAAACCAGGGCAGGCACATTCATGTTGTGAGCATAATAGTTCCGGTAGGTGGACTGGATCCCATCACGGGCCAGTAGATGCTAGAAGCAAGCCCATGTGCATGCATCTTGGGACCTTGGCTTCCCCATAGGATATGCAGAGTTAAACAAAACTCTGAAAGCACCCACAGCCTTGGACACTGGAGAGCAGTGGTTTGTTGAAGGAAGCGTGGTCCCAGGGCCTAGGACTGGGCTGAGAGGGAGATAATGTCTTCTCAAAAAATAGAGGTGGGTGGACAATTAGAAACCCACTCAGCTGGCGGCTTGGGTGTCTGTTCCATATGGGAGGTGTATTCCTGAACAGGGATGGGATGACTCATTAGCTACCTGTCACCTGATCGCATAGAGCTGTCTGATTTCCTTGCTTTGATCCTAGGCAGCCAAATTGTCTTAATTTGGTTTCCAATGCAGCTTCCTTAGACAAGAGTACAGCCATGAACTCCCAGACTACAGATGCAATTGGAAATTGTGTGTGTGTGTGTGTGTGTGTGTGTGTGTGTGTACAAAATTAGTTATGTGAAAAGTGGATGAAATTATATAAAATAGCATTTCAATGAAACCTTTTCCTTGAAAAGTGTGGTGATAGCAGATTGGTTAGAAGCTAGTCACGTGGCATCTGGTTAGCCTTTGAACCCTTTGTTGTAAGATTTGGCAAAGCCTGGTTGACTTGGCAAATGGAGACAGCCTGAATCTGCGAAGCTGAGCTGAGCTGTAAATCATTAGCATGGCCTCGATGCTGTCCTGGCTACATAGCTGGGGACCGGCAGCTTTGGGGAGAGGGCTTATTTTCCTCATCAGTTTGCTCAGGAACACTCGGAATGACCAGGAAACTTGTCCAGACTTGGGGGGGGGGCAGTAAAAATTTGAGTTAGTCGCTACACCCAGGTGTCTGACTCCAGCTCAAATTTGAAACAGTGCAGCTCTTCTGGGGTTGAGTTTTGTCTCCCATTCAGCAGACTCTGTCACATGTATACTCTTACCCACTTTCTCCATAAGATCTGTGCCCAGTGGGGCAGTGGAAGAAGTGACCAGAAACAGGGAGGGAAGAAACTCAAACATCTACTTGTTCTAAAGACCAGGCAGCCGCGTCTTCTCCGCTTTCAGATGCTGCTAGAAGGGCAGGGGTGGCCTCCGGATGTCCGCTTTGTGTCTATAGTCAGTCATTCAGCCTCCCTTAGACTCTGCACCCAAATTGAATCCACTGTGGCAGGTGTAGCAAGCTCCCATTTTGCTTACATGGGGTCTCTAGGTGTCAGGTGTGCCCTTGGTTCCTGCTTCTACCTTTTCTTCTTTGGTCTGGATGGAGGGGAGCTATGCACTAAGAGGGTGCTGTGCCCCAAGAGCAGCACTGCCTAAACCCCACCCCACCCCCAGCTCCTGGCATCACAGTTACCAGAGCTGCAGTCTCAGCTTACATGGCGGGAGGGGGCAGGGGCAGGCAGTCTCCATCTCTTGTGTGGCTGTGGCAGTGAGGGCGCTTTGTGCCCTGCATGGATGGAAGTGGGAGTCCTCATTATCTAACTGGGGCCTTCTAGAGGTTGGAAAAAGATGAACCGGCCCCATTCCTACCTCTGCTTCTGCTGGATGTATTTCGCTGCTGCTGGATTCAGAGGTGAGAGTCTAGTACCATGCTTCCTATGGGCTCCTCTAGAGCCTTTTCTTTGCTAGGAGATGGGGAAGGGTTGAAAAGACAGGAGAGCAGATGTGAGTGCACGGGCATGTCCATACCCCTTTCTGACTCACGATGCTCAGAGTAGGCAGGACCAGCCAGAGATGTGGAGCCCTCCCCCATTGCGATCCCAGTGATGCTCTTGTTTTGAAATGCTGATCCAGGTCCTTTCTTTGAGCAGCTGTAGCAGCAGCGGATGGAAAATATGCTCAGAAACTGTTTAATGATCTTTTTGAAGATTACTCCAATGCCCTGCGTCCGGTAGAAGATACGGACACGGTCCTGAATGTCACACTGCAGATCACGCTTTCTCAGATCAAGGATATGGTGAGCGGCATGGGAGGGTGACACCTTGGGAAGAGCAGTGCAGTGAAAACAAGCATTCGCTTCCAAAGGGGATGTCGTAAAGGGAGCACTGGAGAGGGTGGCATGCGAAGTTCCGGGTACCGCTTGCAGGAGGAAAGAGAGCCAGACAAAGGAAGTTTTCTACTAAATGAGTCATTTCACGAAATGCTTTCTAATGCTGCTGTCACCTGCAGTTGTGGCCAGGAGCACTAGCAGTCTAGAGCAATCAAAAGAAACAGTGTTGCATGTGGTTTGATTCTCTTCACAAAGTGTTCAAAATAGGTCTGTCCATTCAGAGAGCCAACAGTGTTGGTGGCCAGGGACCAACGATTGCTTAATGGCTATGGTGTTTCTCTTAGGTGTGATGAAAATATCCTTGAGTTAGAGAATTGAGATACAGTGTGGTTAATTACCGGGAGCCACTGACAATTATAAAATGGCTAAAATGGAGCTTTTTAATATTTTATTTTAACTATGTGTATATGTGTGCCTGTGTGTTCTCTTGTGTCTATTAGTGCAGTAGTGACTGCAGAGGCCAGAAGACGACATTAGGTCCCCTGGTGCTAGAATTATAGGCAGTTGGGAGCTGCCTAACATGGGTTCTGAGAACTGAACTTAGGTCCCCTGAAAGAACAGTACACACATTGAACTCCAGTCTCCTAACTTAGATGTTATGTGGATTTAATCACAATTATAAAAAAGGTAGTATTTTAAGATGACATGGCTGATTTCCTGCATATAAATATTTAATTACACACTGTTACGAGATTTGAATGATGTTTTGTTTCGCACACGGTAGATATTTCCCAATTCCTGGCTCAAATGTATTGGTAGTTGATCCATTTTCAGAGAAAATTGAGCGGTTGATTCATGGAAAGATATAAAATCTTAAATACCTGTCTCTTACATTCTGCACCAAGGAGGCATTAGGTGTAGCCTTGGTAATCCATCAACCAGATAGCATTTTGAAAGGTCTCATTTGTGGATTGAAAGAGATGGGCTTTCTTGAGATTCCTGCTATCAAGAATAAGCGTCCCACAGCTGAAAATCTATACTGAGTCAAGTGACATCTGGCTTCACCGCTTAGGACGAGAGAAATCAGATTCTGACCGCCTATCTGTGGATCCGCCAAACATGGCATGATGCTTACCTCACGTGGGATCGAGACCAGTATGACGGGCTAGACTCCATCAGGATCCCCAGCGACCTCGTGTGGAGACCTGACATTGTCCTGTACAACAAGTAAGCACACCTGGGACCAGACGATTCCCTGCTACGAACCTACAGATTTAGTAGAAACTTAAACATGACGTCAAGGGGGCATTTAAAACACACATGGAGTATGGATCTGTGTTCCTAGTACAACTCTCAGATGATAGAGTATCAACCCTGAAAGCCTAGAGTTGGAAGGAGACTATCAAATTCTATATTCCGCCTTTCAGGTGCAAAATCGGAGGCCATGTTAGTTTCCTAAGAAACAAGCTATAAGCACAGACTGGGGACTTGAAGAAGAGACACTTCTCAGCTCACGCTTTGGATCCAGAGAATAAAAGTGTTAGTGGGCTCCCTACAGGAGCCTATTTTGTGGCCCTCCCCCAGCTTCTAGCGTTTGCTATTCTTTTGAGGTGTAGAATCAGTGCTTTGATCTTTGCCTTCATCTTCACGGGGCAGGGTGGGGGGCATCTCCCTCTGGGTCCCATACCCGAATCCCCACTCTTGGACACCCTGTTCCAGCCTGATCTACATCTTAATTTACGGCATCTGGGCATCTGCCGTAACCATTCCTCCTCCCCTCCCCTTCTTCTCTTCCTCTTATGAGGTTTGTTTGTTGATGGTCCTTTGTTTTTAAAGACAGTATCTTGCTCAAGTTGCCCTGGATCTGGCAATCCTTCTGCCTCAACCTCCCAAGTTTACCACCACTCCAGCTGAGCTCTGTTCTTGCATAAGCTGGCATTCTGAGCCGCTGGAAAGTTAAGGCTTCAACGTAAGGATTTCTGGAGAAACGATTTAACCTGCTCATGGTCCAAAGATTATGTGGCAGAAATACCACCAAGATTCAACAGGATGGGCCACCTAGAATTGTCCTGTGGGTTTCAGACTATTGAGTCAGGGAAGGATGGGATCTTGGGACTGTTTTGACTCTTTTTCTCAGAGCAAGGGCCTGCGTACATAGGTATGGTTCGTGTTTCTCAGACTGTAAAGTATACTTGAAATCACCTACAGTTCTTAATAAAACTCAGACTTGAGTTCAGTAGCTGCGGAGTGGACCTGCAGCTCTACGTTCCCACCATCTCCAGAGGGCCCTGAGTGCTGCTGGCCCACTAGATACACGTCCAGGAGGAGCCAGACCTCTTATCCCAACTCAAGTTCAACGCCTCCGTGTCCTGCCTGTTGTCACAGGACTTCCTTGCTGTCTTTATCTGGAACCTAAGCGCCTGTGGGTTGAAAGGGGTTCTTTTGTTGTTCCGATAAAAATTGAGGCTTTTGGGGGAGGGCTGCTTGGGCAGAGCCTCCTAGTGGTCTTGAAGATTTCTTAAAGAAGCAACAGTGGTGGGTGGCAGCCTGTGTTTACTGACTCCTCAGTCAGAGCCCACCCAAAGGCTGCGGCCTGTTGTCCATTTCTTATTTTAAGTGGCCAGGGGAATGTTTCACATGCCTTCCAAACACGCTAACGTTTAAGAACTGAGACTTTATTACCCTAATCTACCCTCTCTCCTCCTTCTCCCTCACTCCCCACCCTCCCTCCATGATGAGTCACAGGATCCATCACCGCTTTCATCTACAAAGTGAGTTCTGAGAAATCAGTTGGCATAGATGATCTTTCAGTGTTTTCTGTAGGTTCTACCAGTTCTCCCTGGGGAGCAAGCAGAACAAACAGGGCTCTCCCTAGCCCCTCGGCTCTACTGGGCACCGCAGTGAGCAACTTTATTGAAATACTTCTTTGCAAGCATACACAGGCCCAAAGTTAAACCTGCACCAGCGACTCTGTACTAGAGAGGCAAGCTTTGGCTCACAAGCTCATGCCAACAGTACCTCTGCCTTATAGTGACAGTGGAGGAAGACTAATTCCCTAAAGAAAGTAGAGTTCTCATACCTAGAAGCAGCAGGGGCAGATGTTGACAAAGTAAGAGAAAACACCCTGGGAAATAGTGAACATCTGTAATGTTACAGATGAATGACTTTTTCTTCTGTGTTTCCAAAGGAACACACTCACCACTAAGGACAGCAGCAAAACCAGAGAATCAGAGTTTAGCCCTAACAGACCGCCTTCTTTTCTGGATGTTTAGATCATGGGCAGCAATGATGGGGGATGAAAGGAACATAGCAGAGATGCTTTACGGAAGATGGTAAGAGAAGTGGTCCAGATCGGTTGCAGGAGGTGGAGGAGAAGGTACCTTGGAAGTGATTGCAAACTCACATACTAGAGGGACAGAGAAAGGGGGCCCACTGCCAAGGATGCTGAAGTGATGGACACAGGGTGATGAACTGTTCATGAGGAAGTCGGTAAGGCTCCTTAGCAAGCACCTGTCTTTGTCCCTATCTGCTCTCCAGGGCTGACGATGAGTCTTCAGAACCCGTGAACACCAATGTGGTCCTGCGGTACGATGGCCTCATCACCTGGGATTCACCAGCCATCACCAAAAGCTCCTGTGTGGTCGATGTCACCTACTTCCCCTTCGACAGCCAGCAGTGTAACCTGACCTTTGGTTCCTGGACCTACAACGGCAACCAGGTGGACCTATTCAATGCCCTGGACAGCGGTGACCTCTCTGACTTCATTGAGGATGTGGAATGGGAGGTCCACGGCATGCCTGCTGTGAAGAACGTCATCTCCTATGGCTGCTGCTCGGAGCCGTACCCAGACGTGACCTTCACCCTGCTCCTGAAGAGGAGGTCCTCCTTCTACATCGTCAACCTCCTCATCCCCTGCGTCCTCATATCGTTCCTCGCTCCCTTGAGCTTTTATCTCCCAGCAGCCTCGGGGGAGAAGGTCTCTCTGGGAGTGACCATCCTCTTGGCTATGACGGTATTTCAGCTAATGGTGGCAGAGATCATGCCGGCCTCAGAAAACGTGCCTCTGATAGGTGAGTGTATATATTTAGCTTTGTGGCGGCTGGGAAGGTGTGCATGCTTCAAACGGAAGCAGTTGGCCAAATGCTTCCACAAAATCCACTCAGCGCGTGCAGATGGCATCTCTGCCTGTAGGTACGGTTGTTGGCATCAAATGGTTCTTGCGATCTCCGGGTTTACAAAGGAACACTTGTTTATTTTATGGATATCTAATTTTGGTTTTTGAGACAGAGATTTATAGTGTAGCCCAGGCTGGCCTCAAACTTGTTATTTACCCAAGAAAGAACTGAATCCTTTGATGCCCCCTCCCTCCACCTCCTGAGTGATGGGATTGCAGATCTGTTCCACTAAACACAGTTTACTTGGTGCCTTGGTGTGGGGATCGAATCCGGGGCTTCGTCCATGCTGTTCACAGTTCTAGGTCTTTCTTCTCCAAAGGAGGCGTGGCAGCTAGACAGGAAGACGAGCCGGAGACTCAAGTCAGACATCCACCCTGCATAACAGAGACCACCCCCTCACACACTTATTAGAACAGAGGTTCTAATAAGGATTTGCTTTGTCAATCTTTTCAAAAACTAAATGTTTTCTTTTTTAAAATCTAAAAGAAATGTGTTAGCAACATTGGCCAGGATTTGGGAATCTGGTCATCCTGAAGCAGAATCCATTGTCTTATGTGTTGGTTGTGACAGCCTTTGACAGCTGAGCCTTTTCTCCAACCTGCAGGACACGTTGTCGACAGTCTGCAGTAACGTAACCTGCAACCAAGGGTTGAAGTGGAGGCTGAGGCTGCCATGCCTGCTTCTCCATCTACTTTGTTCTGAGACCCCTCCACCATCTTTGACACCTCCTGCCACTGTCACCAAGGAGACCCCTCCAATCTAACACCTCAACTGGCTGCTATAATAGATGCTTCCTGGAGCCCATAGTAAACCTCATTTCAGTTTCTTAAGATAAGACACAGGAGAAGTTCCAGAACTCAGGGACACAGAGTACACTAGTCACTGGGTGCTGTGTGACCCTTTGTTCACTACAGAATCCACTTATCCAATATTCAGACAGTGGTGTATATTGGTTTCTATGGAGACATCTTCCTTTTTCATTTTTGTTTTTTGGGGGGACAGGGTTTCAGATGGCCCAGGCTGACTTGGAATTGGTTCTGTAGCCAAGGTTGTCCTTGAATTTCTGATCCTTCTGCCTCCACTTCCCAAGTGCTGGGATTACAGATGGCACTGCCACACCTGGGTGCTTTTTCCCTTTTATGTCTCTTTGAGAAAACACAAACACACAGACACATAAAGAGACAAACACACACAGAGACAGATACATACAAACACAGATACATACACAGGCACACACAGACACAGATGCACACAAGACACAGACACACACACAGATAGGTACACACAGACATAGACACACACAGACACACACAGATACACACAAACACAGATACACACAGACATAGACACACAGAGATACACACAGACATAGATAGATACACACAAGACACAGACACACACAGGCACAAGATACACACATAGGTACAAGATACACACACACACACACACACACAATTTTTCCCCTAAAATAAACACAGGTTTTCTTCTCCACTAGTAAAGGAAAGGTATCTAGGTATAGGTATAGGTATTACTTCTCTGAAGACAGAAATGAGTGTCATGGTGACAGACACCTGTCACCCGGCACTCGGGGGGGAGGAGGGCCTGCCTTAACTACACAATGCAACAGTGACACGTGCCCCTGGCAATGCTGAAGCATGCATGGGCAACACATTTATGTTGGATTTTATGGACTGAATTGACGAGGATGACTGACCAGGTCTCTCAAGGAACAGGTTCCACCAAGATGTGAACTTGGTTCGCTGGATTCAGAGTACAAAGTGTTAACCATTACACCATGGGAGCTGGTGCCAACTACACAATACCCTGTCTCAAAATAACCCAAAACCAAGCCAGAAATGATAACTCTGTCTGCAGTGAGATCATTGACAGGTCCCTCTCTTCCTTAGCAGTGACATTCAACCCCAACTGACGCATTTCTAAAGAGAGATGACTCACAATCATTTGGGGAGCATTAATCGTTTCTATGGTAATGTGAGACTTGTCTTTCTAGAAGGTGTATACATGGATCTTGAGAACATTTGTTAAAAATGTCAACATTTTATTTGTAGCACCTGTGAAATGCACTCCCTGCCTTTGGTTGTCATTGTTATTGGGGACAGCATCCCACCACGCCACCAGGCTGGCCTTGCACTTGGATTTTCATCTCTCAGCTTCTGGAGTGCTGGGAGCCACCCTGCCTAGCTTTAGGCTCCCAATCTCTCCCTTCCCTGCTCTGTCTCTCCTCCACCCCACCCTGTGCTGGAGATTGAACCCAGGACCTTGTGCATGTTAGACAGGAGCTATAGTCCCAGCCTCTTTGCTCTCACAGTACACACACATGTTTACACTTTCTGTATGACAGGTAGCATTTCGTGCATGTTCCTGGCCCGTGCTCCCTTTATAGTTAATCTGGAGTTTTTAATAAATAATAAGTGGATGTTAAACATTATTATGAATGCCGTTCGGGGACGGATAGCTATCCTAACCTGAGAACAAGACTGTGTTTGCTTCAGGTCAGGCTGAACTGAGATCAAGGCTGCTGCTGCCTCAGCACATCAGGAAGAATTAATCATAGCAAGTCAAGACTGTAAACTCTGGGCCTGGTTTAGCGTGTAGAATAGGAGGTCACAAGGAGCCATTTCTGACTTGGAGCAAAACCAGAATTGCCTCAAGGCCAGGCTTTTGATAACCACAATAAACCTGGAAACTCCGTGACACTTAAACATGCCTGACTGTCCCCGCCACTCCCCACCACACAGAAGCTGCCCCTAGCTCACATCTCTGCAGCTTTTCTCGACATCTGGCCAGCTGCAGCTGTAGATATGTATTTTCTAACAAGCTCGACTCCGCCTTCTGTCGTTAGCTCCTTTGTCACAGGCCTGCCAAGGCTGTCCGAGGCAAGGCTTTATCAAGCCTCTTGTCAGCATTTATAAGATAACTGCGTGCGTTTTCTCTTTTACCCATTAGCACAGTGAATTACATCAATAGGCTTTCCCGTATCGAATTTTTGGATTTCTCAACCAGAATTCCTTTTTCGTGATATTTCAAGATACTCTAGGGAGCGGGGATATGTGTCAATGGAAGAACACTTGTCTAACACACGGAAAGCCCTAAATTCAATCCTAAGTACTGAAAAATAAATAATTAAAAAGACACCACGGCAATGAGGGTATAGCTTGGTTGGTAGGGCACTTGCCTAGCATGAGTGAGCACCTTATGTATCTGGGCTGGGTGACGCATGCCCATGATAATCCAGGCAGGTGATGCATGCCCATGATAATTCAGGCAGAGTGATGCATGCCCGTGATAATCCAGGTCAGATGATGCATGCCTGTGTTAATCCAGCCTGGGTGATGTATGCCTGTGTTAATCCAGCCTGGATGATGTATGCCTGTGTTAATCCAGCCTGGGTGATCCATGCCTGTGATAATCCAGCCTGGGTGATGCATGCCTGTGTTAATTCAGGCAGGGTGATGCTGCCGCTAATAATCCAGGTCAGATGATGCATGCCCGTGATAATCCAGGTCAGGTGATGCTGCCTGTGACCCCCAGCGCTTAGGAGGTGGGGGCTCGAGAATTTGAAGCTCATGATCAACCTAGGCTGCCTGACAAATCCAAGGTCAATCTGGGCTAACAGAGACTTTAGCTGAAAAAAAAAAAGATAAATAAATAAAAAGATATTTTAAAATTCCACTAAAAAGTCTTTTCCAAATACATCTGTAAGAATGATGAGCTGCTATTTCTTTTCCTACTATTTTTTAGAATGAAAGCTCCTGCCCTCTTCCTCTCGTCTCCCCACGAGAGGCCTTATTTTACTGTTTCTTTTCGGAGAAGACCTGTTTCTACATTGCGCAGGCTGACCTTTACCTCCTGGGCACGAGCGTCCACCCCCACCTCCCAAAGCTGGGATTACAGGTGTCGATCACTGTGCTCACCTTAGTCCTCACTGAAAAGCTTGCCCTTGGTTTTGTTTGTGGAGGAGGAGGGTGGGGGTGGGTCTGGGGGTGGGGGTGGGGTTCATGTCCACACACTCACGCTCGAGGTCATGCTGAGGCAAGAGCAGCCCCCCCCCCATTTTGCTCTCTATCCTTCTGCACTGAGGCAGGGGGGCTCCCTTAAATGAAGCTGTCCGTTTCGGGTAGGCTGGCTGGTCAGTGAGGTTTGGGGCTCTGCCTGCCCCTGCCCACCAATGCTGGGATTATAGGCCCAAGGAGCCATAGACGCCTCTTTACACGGATGCTGTGGACGCAAACACAGGGCCTCATGCTTGTACAGCAGGCTGTCTTACCGCCGAGTCATCGCCCCATCCTTCGGCTCTAATTGCTACTTTGTTTATTTGGTTTTCCTCTTCACGAATCTGTGCCCTTCCCGTGCCTTTCCTTCATTTCCCCTTTCCATGAACATTTAAATGCCGTATGGAATCAGATCACTTTTAAGGTCAGTGGCACAGGGTCCCCTTTCTTAGACAGTCGTAACTGTATCCCATAGCAATGAGGCCTGGAGGTGTTCGAAGAACAGGTCAAAGGCTATACTTGCTGGTTTGCCGAGGTTGTGTGTATTTTCACATCCTGGTGAGCATCTGTAAACCTTTCAAATTAGAGTCAAGGACGGTACTGAACACTTTACAGGGATCATTTATGCTATACCTCACCGTATTGTAAGTTGGACACTATTATTACGCTTGTTTTATGAGCAGGAAGCTGGAGTTCATCACAGTTTTTCTTAGTTCTGAGTTTAGTGGGTGACAATGCTGGACTTCAGATTCAAAAGACACCACTAACGTGAACCAGCTTCTTAGGAAAGGTGTCTGTTTCTTTTTCAGTCAGAATGAAGAGAGTGTGAAAATGAACTTAGCCAATGCCACTGTCATTCCAGGTAAATACTACATTGCCACCATGGCCCTGATCACGGCCTCCACGGCCCTTACCATCATGGTGATGAACATCCACTTCTGCGGGGCTGAGGCCCGGCCAGTGCCTCGTTGGGCCAAGGTGGTCATCCTGAAATACATGTCCAGGATCTTGTTTGTCTACGATGTGGGTGAGAGCTGCCTCAGCCCCCATCAGAGCCAGGAGGCGGAACCACTCACGAAGGTTTATAGCACACTCCCAGGGTCCAACCTGAAAACATCCAGAAACAAAGGCCTTTCCAGAAAGAAGGAAATGAACAAACTCTTAAAGAATGACCTGGGGTGCCAGGGCGGGAGCCCCCAGAATACCAACGGTTCCTGTGCACGCTATGAAGTGCTGACAAGAAACATCGAGTACATTGCCAAGTGCCTCAGAGACCACAAAGCCACCAACTCCAAGGGCAGCGAGTGGAAGAAAGTCGCCAAAGTCATAGACCGGTTCTTCATGTGGATTTTTTTTGTTATGGTGTTTGTCATGACCATTTTGATCATAGCAAGGGCAGATTAGGAAAAAAGAGGAGTGGGCAGGTTGGCATTGGATATTTGAGAAAAACATCAATAAAATGCCCCTGTGACCTGTTCCCATGTCTAAGTCTGGTTGCTGTTCACATACAGCTTAGGAGATAGGTTGTATGTGCTTTCATTTTTAACTTTCATTTTTAACTTTGTGTCAGGTTAAATTCGGCAGGAAATCCAAACTGTCAAGGGTAAGGAGATGAAGGAAGTGAAGATGGACCCATTTCATAGCCTCCCATAATGGGGAGTGGCAGGCCTCAAATTTACATAATTCTTTGTCTCTTTATCAATAAAACAGCGTATTTCTGCTTAAAATTTAAAGCACAAAAACCCAAAACGCGTTAATTTCTCCTAGTCTTTTAAAAAAGATTTTTTTTTTTTGCAAAAAAAAGAGATTCATATAAATTCAGTCTCAAAGACGCCTTGGGGTACCTTGTTCAGACGGGGTGCATTATAACCCGGGTCTCAAATGGCAAATTAAAGATTTTGTCCTGGCTAGTTTATGGTGATTACACCACACCTGTAATTCTAGGACTGGAGAGGTAGAGGCAGGGGGACCATCACAAGTGTAAGGCCGGCTTAGTCTATGAAGCTATATAATAAGATCCTATCTAAAATAGGTAGATAAATAAAATAAACACAGCAATAACAACAGCAAGGTTTTTGTCTCACCAAAAGTCTAGTCTCAGATATTAAAGGGAACAAGTTTTATTCATAATAGTGATGCCATGAGTGTTTGCTATTTTGTACTCTAAAGATAAGGTCTTTGCTATATCAAGTCTTTAATTAAAATAAGATAGATGAGGTTGTGCTTGTATTAAGTCTTTGATCAAACTGAGGAATCAGCAATCTGAGCTCCCTCATTAATTCACCTCCTTAAACACTGTCTGCCCATCACCTACCCGCATCCCTCCCATCCCCCACCCCACCTCCTGCACATAATAAAGGTATGATTTACATTTGCATGGGTGTCAAAGCAAAGATGTGCAGATCCCTGGCCAATTCTGATGATGACAATCTTGTGACCTAGGCGGGCAGGCATCGGCTCTTCCTTCTCAGAGGAAGAAACTGGGGGTTAGGAAGGCTGTTGTTAGTGTTTGCCCATCTGAATGACACCTAGGCTGAAGTTCCACTCTCAATACTATGGGTTCAAGTTGGACCACGCCTGCTAAGGTCGTGACAGATTGTAGAAGAATAAGAGACTGAGAGATTCTTATTCTTTGATTTTTATTTGTTTAGTTTTTGTTTAGTGTTTCTGGGACAGGGTCCTATATAGTCAAGGTCCTATATAGACAAGGTCCTATGTAGTCTCAAACTTACTTTGTAGCCAGTGTTGACCGTGAACACTGCCTCTACCTCATAAGTGCTGAGATTGTAGGTGTGTGCCACCAGGCCTAGTTTCTCATTCTTTTTTCTTTTTTAAGTAATTTTATTAAATTATAAAAGTTTCCATTTACACCCCTCTTCCCAACACCCTCCCACTCCCCCCCCTCCTCCTCCCTCTTTGTCCCTAAGGGTAGTCAGGGTTTCCTGCCCTGTGGGAAATTCAAGTTCCTCCCCCCTCCCTCCAGGTCCAGGAAGGTGAGTATCCAAACACACTGGATCCCAAAAATCCAGTATATGCAGAGGAAACTAGTCCCAGTGTCATTGTCAATGGCTTCTCAGAAAGACTCTGGGCCAGCCACATTCAGAGAATCCGGTCACATTCAGAGAATCTGGTTGGATCACGTGCTCGTTCAGTCGCAGTCCAACTGCCCTTGGTAAACTCTCATTAGATCCGACCCCTTGTATCAGTGGGTGATAGCATCCCTCGCAGTCCTTCGTCATTTTCTTCGTCCTTCTGCTCCTCATTTGGACCTTGGGGGGCTCAGTCCGGTGCTCCAATGTGGGTCTCCGTCTGTATCGCCATCCATCACCAGATGAAGGATCTATGGTGATAAGCAAAATATTCATCAGTATGGTTATGGGCCAAGACCGGTTCAGGCACCCTCTCCTCTGTCCAGAGAACAATCTGGGGATCTCTCCTTGGACCTAGGATCCCATATATAATCAAGTTTCCTGTAAACCCTAAAATGACTCCCTTAGTTGAAATATATTCTTCCCTGTTCCCATATTCATCCTTCCTCCCTTCCCCCCATCCCAGTCAACCGAGCTTTCTCCATTCCTACCCTACTCCCTTCTCTCTAACCCTCTCCCCTTCCAACAACCCTCCCACTCCCCCCCATGCACCCAAGGTTACCTGGGACTCTTGATTATTTCCTACCTCCTGGCGGATAGCTAAATTATCTTCATCAGGTTCATCTTCTTATTTAGCTTCTCTAGGATCACAAATAATAGGCTCAAAGACCTTTAATTATGGTTAGAATCCACTTATGAGTGAATACATACCGTGTTCCTCTTTTTGGGTCTGGCTTACCTCACTCAGTAAAGTGTTTTCTATGTCCATCCATTTGCATGCAAAATTCAAGATGTCATTATTTTTTACCGCTGAGTAAAACTCTAATGTGTATATGTTCCACACCTTTTTTAACCATTCTTCTATTGAGGGGCACCTAGGCTGTTTCCAGGTTCTGGCTATTACAAATAGTGCTGCTATGAACATAGTTGAACAAATGCTTTTGCAGTATGTTAGAGAATCTCTAGGGTATATTCCCAAGAGTGGAATTGCTGGGTCCTGAGGGAGGTTGACTCCCAGTTTCCTGAGAAACCGCCACACTGATTTCCACAGTGGCTGCACAAGTTTGCATTCCCACCAACAATGGATGAGTGTTCCCCTCACCCCACATCCTCTCCAGCATAGGCTATTATTGGTGTTTTTGACTTTAGCTATTCTGACAGGTGTAAGATGGTATCTCAAAGTGGTTTTGATTTGCATTTCCCTGATTGCTAAGGAGGTTGAGCATGACCTTAAGCGTCTTCTGGCCATTCGAAGTTAATCTGTTGTGAATTCTCTGTTCAGTTCAGTACCCCATTTTTTAATTGGGTTAATTAGAGTTTTAGTGCCTAGTTTCTTGAGTTCTTTGTATATTTTGGAGATCAGACCTTTGTCTGATGAGGGGTTGGTGAAGATCTTCTCCCAGTCAGAAGGCAGCCTTTTTGTCTTACTGACAGTGTCCTTTGCTTTACAGAAGCTTCTCAGTTTCAGTAGATCCCATTTATTCATTGTTTCTCTTATTGTCTGTGCTGCTGGGGTCCTACTTAGGAAGAGGCCTCCTGTGCCTATATCTTGTAGACTACTTCCCACTTTCTCTTCTATCAGGTTCAAAGTGGACGGATTAATGTTGATGTCTTTAATCCATTTGGACCTGAGTTTTGTGCATGGTGATAGGTATGGATCTACTTTCATCCTTCTACAGGTTGACATCCAGTTATGCCAGCACCATTTGTTAAAGATGCTTTCCTTCTTCCATTGTATACCTTTAGCTCCCTTGTCAAAAATTAGGTGCTCATAGGTTTGTGGGTTAATATCCGGGTCTTCTATTCGATTCCAAAGGTCGATTTCTCTGTTCTTATGCCAATACCAAGCTGTTTTCAATACTGTAGCTCTGTAATAGAGTTTGAAGTCAGGGATGGTAACGCCCCCTGAAGTTCCTTTATTGTATAAGATTGTTTTGGCTATCCTGGGTTTTTTGTTTTGCCATATAAACTTGATTATTGTTCTCTCAAGGTCTGTGAAGAAGTTTGATGGGATTTTGATGGGGATTGCATTGAATCTATAGATTGCTTTTGGTAGAATTGCCATTTTTACTATGTTGATCCTCCCAATCCAAGAACAAGGGAGATCTTTCCATTTTCTGGTATCCTCCTCAATTTCTTTCTTCAAAGACTTAAAGTTCTTGTCAAATAGGTCTTTCACTTCCTTGGTTAGAGTAACCCCAAGATATTTTATGCTATTTGTGGCTATCGTGAAAGGTGATGTTTCTCTGATTTCCCTCTCTGCTTCTTTATCCTTTGTGTTTAGGAGGGCCACTGATTTTTTGGAGTTGATCTTGTGTCCTGCCACGTTACTAAAGGTGTTTATCAGCTGTAGGAGTTCTTTGGTAGAGTTTTTGGGGTCACTTATGTACACTATCATATCGTCAGCAAATAACGAAAGTTTAACTTCATCCTTTCCAATTCGAATCCCCTTGATCTCCTTATGTTGTCTTATTGCTATTGCTAGAACTTCAAGCACTATATTGAAGAGGTATGGAGAGAGTGGACAGCCTTGTCGTGTTCCTGATTTTAGTGGAAAGGCTTTGAGTTTCTCTCCATTCAATTTGATGTTAGCTGTCGGCTTGCTGTATATTGCTTTTATTATATTTAGGTATGATCCTTGTATCCCCAGTCTCTCCAACACCTTTATCATAAATGGGTGTTGAATTTTGTCAAATGCTTTTTCAGCATCCAATGAAATGATCATATGGTTTTTTTCTTTCAGTTTATTTATATGCTGGATTACATTGATAGATTTGCGTATGTTGAACCAGCCCTGCATCTCTGGGATGAAGCCTACTTGATCATAATGGATAATTTTTCTAATGTGTTCCTGGATTCGGTTTGCCAGGATTTTATTGAGAATTTTCGCATCGATATTCATGAGTGAGATTGGCCTGTAATTCTCTTTCTTGGTTGTGTCTTTGTGTGGTTTTAGTATTAAGGTAACTGTAGCTTCATAAAAGGAGTTTGGCAATGACTCTTCTGTTTCTATATTATGGAATACATTAAGGAGTATAGGTATTAGCTCTTCCTGGAAGTTCTGGTAGAATTCTGCATTGAAACCATCTGGTCCTGGGCTTTTTTTGGCAGGGAGATTTCTGATAACAGCTTCTAATTCTTCACGACTAACAGGTCTATTTAGATTGTTCACCTGTTCTTGGTTCAACTTTGGTATACGGTACTTATCTAAAAAAAAATGTCCATTTCTTTTACATTTTCCAACTTTGTGGCATATAAACTTTCGTAGTAAGATCTAATGATTCTCTGAATTTCCTCTGTGTCTGTGGTTATATCCCCCTTTTCATTTCTGATCCTATTAATTTGCATGTGCTCTCTCTGCCGTTTGATTAGCTTGGATAGGGGT